TTCACAACCACCACTCGTTTTCTAACCCAGCAAAACTATCTATTTTTCACAACGCCCCGTTAAGATTATCACAGCGTTTTTGATAACCATAGCTTGTTTTGTAGTGATTTTAAAGAGTTCGAGTCCGAGTGAATTCTAGACATTTACGCGCTGAATAGGCAGGGTTGCCCAACTTGCTTTTATTATACTATGGTCTTATGACATTCAGTTACACAAGTATAGGTTATTTGTATTTACTCTGTATATAGACATGAGACAATGACCAAATACCATTTAACTGCAAGAAAGTGACGAGACTGATAAGTGATATCTGCAGTAATAGGTATGTCATAATCGTAAATTGATTGTTTATCCAACTATAGATGTTATTTTTTAGTGCATCAAGTATATTACATTTTTGGAATAGTTATTAAGAATAACTCCTAGCAGTGCATTTTGTGCCAATTGCTACGACAATGACCGTATGCCACGTTACATTAGTAGTGAAAACTACCAGAAGAAATAAACACCACAATAGAACGATTACCTTACAATGTGTCGTAGTGATGCGCGATTTAATCATTTACTTTCGAAATACGTACTTTTAGTCATGAACTAAATAATGCAATCAGTTTGCAAGCAGGTAACGTGATCCTATGATACGGCAACATACGATAAGATAAAAAGATAAGCCGACAATATGGACGCTATCTGAAAAATAACACTTGAAAGCTGTTCCAAGAATGGTAATTACGTTATACTGGCTTATGAAAATAGTGTTTTTTTTATTATTTTCTAATACGCAATTGTGATTGCAATAACAGACTCGGCAAAACTCATCTAAATTTTAATGAACCACTGCCCAGACCGGACAATAATTCGTGTATTGTAGAAATGAAATAGTTATTTTTCATGCAAGGCTGCAAAGTTGTTGTTTCACGCGAGTGCTTGTTTCAAGGCACGAGACGCAAAACAACTTTGCTGCCGAGCGCAACACACACAACTTTTCATTTCACTATAGCAGGAAAATGGTAGATGAAAGAAAACCAGTTGAACTATACAAATCAGTTTTATTCATTCATACGTCAAAAATAATTTAATAAAGAAAATTAATCGTTGAAAATTCAATGTCAACAATAATAAGAAGAATTGTAACCTTTTAATTGAAAAAAACCGAACTCAAAAGTTTGCTTATCGGCTTGTTTCGATTTTCATGGGATCCCCTCATCAAATTCTGACTTCATGGTGACAATGGTAGTGTTATGGACTCCTATGTACATTTTGTATTTTCTTCTCTGTTTGTCATGGTGACGGTGATCTGTTGATTACATGTATTGTGTCAAGTGAAAAGTCGACTTTTATTTGCGGAACATAATTAGTAATTTATGATAGCCGAAACGAACCCGGAACAGCATCAGGGACCACCTCGAGAGTATAACCTTTCAAACAAAAAAATAATTTTCAAAATCGGTGCAGAATTGATGGGGACATTGGTGAGTGAACACGGACATGCCTATAAAATTTGACGATTTCCGTCGGTTTTTACGGGGGCATCCCATCCCATCATCAGATTCTCACTTGGCGACAGTGGGACCACCAGGAGAGTGCACCCTTTGAAACAAGAAAGAATTTTCAAAATCAGTCCACGATTGACGGAGATATCTGACAACATACATAAAACATACATGCAGACGAACGTATAACCTCCTCCTTTTTTTTTGAAGTCGGTTAATAAAACATTACAACCGATTTATATTACATATATAATGTGCGATAAATCGCGTAGTTGAACGTGACATCATGTTTTTTTTTATCGAAAGAAGAACTTGACAGTGACTGTGCACCACAGTCACCGTCAAGTTCGTTTTTCAAAAACCTGCGCGAGTTTTCTAATGAGAAAGAAAGTTTTTTCCGAGCTTGTGAGATGAAAAATAATATTTACATTCATGGAAAGTTATTGAGTATAAACGCTTCGAGAGACGTACATTGTTCTTGAGTAGTGGTAGCGAACTCGAACTCTGGAGCACCGCGCCTCCCGGGGTGATCAAGTTTCTTCGCCTTGCCCGTTTCCTTCGGTCATCTACATCCTCCCGGCGTTGATAGCCTTGCTTTAAGTAGGAATTGATTTGTGCGAACAGCAACTGCAATATGACGGAGATGATATTTTGCTGATTTAATACCAGCTTCCCATATTCCTCCAAAATGAGGCGAATAAGCGGGACTAAACCTAAATTAGATTCATGTACACGATTGAAAGTATAACCTGACGTCAGCTCGACGAACATAACACAAGTTACAAACGAAAGCCTTTAACTCTTTAGGCTGCGTCATAAGTCACCCTAATACGCCGAAAAACCTTGTTTTTAATATTACATCTTAATAATTGACAAGCTTTAGAACATAGGCGTGCTTGCACATACCAAGTTAACTGTAACGACATTCTCAACACTCTGCTCACAAGCAGCGTAACATTGCTAAGAAGCATCAAAAAAACTATGCAGGCCTATTGTAATACGCTACTCAGAAAGAACACGTCTGGGTATTTTGATTTGAGATAGAACGGAAAATTCCTTTGAAATCTTTGAGACCAATGTTTAGCGAAATTATCTGGTACAGGCCGTCCCTGTCAAGCTTGTCACTCCATGACTTTTGGAGTAATATTTTAGCTACAATCACACATGGACACAACAGTCCAAGACGATCTAAAATCTTACATGTTGGTGACACAATTGACCGCAAAATACATAAAGGTGTGGGCTCTAAATCTCTGGAGAATGGCAAAGTATCGTATTTAGGACAGTAATTTAGATCAATAATGCTAGATTTTTACGTCACAGGATGCTGAACTATCAGTGTTGTTTAGAAGTAATTGAAGGCATTTAGTGCGAATTGTCCGCAAGTCATCCGTATTTACTACATGTTTGTGCAGAAGTGGGTTACATCTAATTTAGACAACACGTAAATATTATCAGTGCATCCCACTTATATGTGGGCTAACCGAGACTGTCAAGTGCACGTCAATGCTTAGAAAAGTGATCTACTACAAACCTTAACGCCTCAAACAATTCCTTAGCAAAGCTGTCAAGGGTAAACAGAGTCTTGAGATGATTATTAATTTTTTTTTGTTCTAACAGTCGCATAAAAGCTATAGGAAGACCACATTCGCGCTTCTCTCTAACCACGAGCGTAAATAGTGAAAATTGTTTATATGTGGAATATCATTCTTATTATTTATCACAAATTCAAAACTGTCCTTGAACTGGAGAAAGCACAAATACTTGCCATCAAAACAAGCTACAAAATGATGGTTAGAAGTTTGATTGCATTTCATGAATTTGAGTGGCAACTAGCCATTGACAAGCCGTCGCCGTCGTACTTTGAATCCGACTTTTTTACTTGAGGATCACGATTCTAATATATCTTACCCATTAGCGATAAAATAAAGAAATTGATTTTCAATTTCATCCCGTTCTTTTATTTGTTCCGCAGAATTAATGTGCAATAAATATATTTTGTTATGCAATTCATCAAATTCATTCAACACTGGTTGCAGCTTATTAATTTTTAAATCCAACTGCCTATATTTCGCGGAGGAAATCTCGAAAGGCTTACACTTTTGCAAATTGGTTAGATACTCGAAAAACTTAATCAGCCGGCCTGTAACAATGCTACGCTATTTTTACATTTCGACAATTCGACAAAATCGTCGGACTTAGAAGAGTTACACTTAGTAGCCATATTAAATAAATTAAAGTGCACGAAACAATTAACAAGGTAAACAATTAAAACTCAAACCCGACCGGCGCGGATAGTAGCAAATACACTCTACTAAATAGTCTTGTCCATAATAGCAAGCTGATAAGGAAATACCTCACGCTTGAAATGCAAGAAGGCCGTCACGCAAATGCGAGTAAATTAAAAATTGGATGTTGAACTTGGTAAAATAGTCGTACTTCCCTTGATCAGACCACCAGATGATCCGTAGACGTAATCCCCTTAAAGTGCCCGGGGCACAAATTACATATTATTGTATCCATTGTTACAAATTCAAATCCATGAGTCCATTAAGTTCCGTAGACTACTCGACGCGTCGTCGTAACGGTAAATTCCACCGATTTCTTTCGAACCAGACTTGTAGCCAACGTCACTTATTGCCATTTATCGCCTCTTATTGTCCGCGTCAGACAATAAAAAACATATATATCAGGATAGGATTTTCGTGTATTGTAGAAATAAAAAATATTTTTTACATTCGTGGAAAATCACCGAATTTAAATGATCAGAGCGACGTGCACCATTCGTGAGCAGCGGTAGCGGACTTACGCACCGCGCTGCCCGCACAGGCCAAGTCTCCTTCCTTGTCCGTTCTTTCCGTATCGTCTACAACCACTAAAACTTACATGCCTAACATATACGTACGTTCAACTTGAGAAAATACTTTTGCATTTATGTTATGTATACGAATATGAATTAAGAAAATAAATAACAGCAAGGATGCGAAGGTAGTCCTTGTGTAATTTTTATTCCATTTTTAAGCCATTAAGTGAATCAGGGAGCTCCAGAGCTGTCTTTCGTATTTGTTCCCTATAAAAAACAAATAATAAATTTTAGTCGTAGCTGGGGAAACGATACGAATGTTTTAATGATATTTTGACTTTGATTTGCAAATGCTTGTATGGTTTAACTTTGATTCAGTTTCTTTATAGGATACTACGACTCTTTAGAGAGTTACTCGTTTTTTTTTCGTGATACTTAAAACGAATTATCTATAAACTTTTTGAAAATTCCAGTTGGCAGGTCTCACCCTTCTGGGACTCGGCATAGCGGCACAAGTAAAAGCGGTAGACCTAACTGAACTGGGCCTCACTCTAGCGCCCGTCAGCTCCATAGTGTTGGGCAGTCTCGTCTTCTTTGTAGCTTTCTTCGGATGCTGTGGAGCTATAAGGGAAAACAACTGCATGTTGGTTACCGTGAGTATTCGACATAACCAATAACCTGTCTTTTGTGCTATAATATGTGGTAAATTTGCCTTGCAAATTCTTTAACAATTAAGTGCATAAATAATTTGGTAGATACGAGTGACAAAGGGTCCACATAGCACGATTTCAAGATCGTGGTGGATGGTACAAACATGGTGGAGGCCTATATCCAGTAGTGGTTGAAGTCGAGTGATGATGAGGATAATGAGTAATAGTAACCAACGTATTTATTTTTCAATGGTACCAAAAACAAACAAAAATTATATAGCTTCTTCAATTTCCAGTACTCCATCTTCATGTTGATCCTGATGATCTTGAAAATCACCTTAGCCACTTTGATCTTCGTGAACCTGGATGGCGTGCTCAACCAGATCCCACAGTTCTTAAAAGACAGTTTTAATAAGGATCCACAAGCATTCCATGATCTTGAAAGCTCGGTACGTATTTGCTCAAAACCAATCAAACAAGTAGGCACTAATGTAATAAGAAGTATTGATGTTGATAAAAACTTACACACCGCCTGACGAATTTGCAAACTTCTGCCAGCTGTTCGACCTGTTAAGATTCAAAGGCCGAGCCATCGACAACTTTTTTACAAATTGGCTATATTAGTTTGTAATATAATTACATTATTAATTAATAATAACTATATTATTTATTTCCATTTCCAGTTGAAATGTTGCGGTCCAGCCGGATATATATCCTACATGCCAGCCGCATTCCTGCCCGATTCCTGCTGCGCTAGCACGCCTTGCGTCCCGATAAATGCCTACAGTGGATGTGACATTGTGATCAAGGATTTCTTGAACACGTTCAGCTTAGTCATTGGTTCTATTGCCATTGCTATTGCTGCTGTCGAGGTTAGTGTTGCTCTTTTTTTTTAACTTAGGTGATATTATAATTACTAATCTAGTCAGGAATTTTGAGCACTCAATAGACTCATTGAATCATTTCTACAGATCAAACAATAGTGTCATTGAGCAGTCACTGCTAAATCAAGTATCCAGAAGCATGAAAAGACAAACTTTACTTATTTCGACTTACTAAGATTCTAAAATATTTAGGAAATAAAACTATTTTTCCGGATTTAAATCGCGTATATTTGTTTTTTCAAACAAACCGACGTTTCGGGCCCTTTACATCCCATGGTCCCATGGTCACGGTTGAAGTATTCCTTTTAGCTTAACCGTTCACAATTATTTCATAAAGTCGCTCATTTAAGTGCTTTTTTTACCTGTGATTAAATAATCTATAATAGGTAATGCAATAATGAGTCTAACTTTACCTTGCGCGTGTTTGATTCCAGCTGGTAGCCGTGATCTTCGGTCTGTGCCTTGCCAGTCACATTCGCAACAAAGCCAGAAGAGGCACATACTGAAAAACTACTTTTATGCTCCATCATAGACAATTTATCTGTACAGGACTATGAATGTGCCCTAGTAATTAATATAAACATTGGATTTAACAATTGATAATACAATTATTTTTGTTTCGGACATGAATAAAGTCTAACAAAAAACCATTTTCATGTTACAATCTATTGACGTTAAGAACATATAAAAAATACATTAAAACAATACAAACACCGCCATTTCAGGGAACAGAAGCATCTTATAATCTTTTTTTTCTTCATCATTAGTATCGTTTCTCTTTACATTGTACAGTCTTATAGTAGTTTATGTGACTGTTACATAATGAAAGTGACTGTTACAAATTTCATAAAAACATCTCACGAGTGTTTTAATGCCTAATTATGTACAGTTACATACACTGCTATATCTACACCATACTAAATCTATGATCTACACCATAGATTTCTATATACTAAATCTATGATCTACACACATATTGTAAACCTCTGTGATGTGTTCAGGAACCGCATATTACGACTGGCGAAATGGCGGCAAATAAAAATTTTTCTCACGTATGTCACACAACCGTACTTTTTATTTTTAATTCATAGACGAACTAGAATCGGTCCCAACTATCATATCGTTCGATATCAAGTAACGTGTGAAATTGTCAAAATTGTTTGCTATTGACATTTCATTTCGAATAAAACTTCATCTCGACTGATATTAGAATTGAGGTCCAATCAAATTGGTTTGTTTTTCAGAGATGTTCGAAATTTGAATGTAATAATAACATCGAATTCGATGTTATTATGAAGCAAAGAGGATGGAAAGTTTCCATAGTCTAAATTATGAAGCAATAATAACATTTTCACAGATAACAAATTTGTTCTAACAAAACGGTTTACCTTTATGCTCGTCGTATTTTGCTGTTTCTGAACACATTATAGAGAGTTAATGATATGTGTGTAGATAAACAAATTTATAATCCGTGTTTCTATTGGCAGAAGAGAGCCAATAACATATAATGCTTTGAATTTATTGTAGATGCACCTATTTTTCAAACGCAGTTGTAACATGAGATCGAAAGAAATGAAAAACAATTTAGAATCGCTGTTGGCGAAATTCAAAATATTGAAGTGATACACAAATCCCTGTGATAAAATTTTAATGTGACTTTTTCATTACAAATAAATAAAAATGGACAAAATATACTTCCGCCGTTAGTTGAAAGGGTGCCTGTGACAAAAATTCAAAACCGAGAAAATATATTTAAAAAAATTAATTTTTTTTAATCTGCTTTTCTCTTGCTGCTATACCTTATCCACTTATGTCAAAATAAAAAAAAAAGGGACAATTCGGCCTTTTTTATACTGATCACGGCAATACACTTAGCAATTGTTTTTTAAATGTCACATGCGCCCTTTCAACTAATGGTGGTAGTATACTTAATAATAACATAAGTATAATTTAGTTATTTAGTGGAACACAAACAATCTTTGTAAGATTATTTTACTAAAATAAGTGTGACATTTTGTACAAGAAATAAAATGTATCACTGCAAATTGTGTTGTTTTCTTCGCTTTTTGTGGATTAAAACAAATTTTACTACATATGTATTAAATACGAAAGTACTTATTATAGGCCTATTTTAACCGACTTCAAAAAAACGAGGAGGTTTTCAATTTGACTGTATTTTTATCATATTTTTTTGTACATACGTACAGCTTAATAATTCTTGAAAATCATTTATTGCCATGTGGTAGTACCATGGTAGTACTTAACAAATTGATCTGGATGTTCACATAAAGTTGTATATAATATTATATATTGGGTGGATGTGCCCAGCTTCTTTTTCTAACATCGTCTTCTAATGCTTCATAAATGCATATTATTTTTAATGGATCCATTACAGTACTACGACACAGACACCCCGTATAAACGCTTAAAAGCAACTGAATAAAATACGTACGTCTGGCGCTCCAACCGAATTTCGATCGAGCGCAAACTGCGCAACTCAAAAAACGAAACTCACAAAATAACGATCGTCTGGCCCATCACCTATAAGCGAAAACCTCGCATACGCGTTTTCACGTAGTACGTTCTTATAGATTTTTGTGAAAAAAAATAAATTTCTTGCATAAATATATTATTATAGTAATATAATATGTGATAGAGGTACAATTTAACTAATTAAAATGCTAAACCACAAACATTATTGCGTTTACTACATTTTACACCGCATTTTATCTTCGTCCTGAAAAATTACATAGAAATTACATACGTAGTATGCACTCTAAGGGTCGTATTCTAAAACTCTACTCAATGCTCAAGTTAGGATTGCACTGGAAACACAAGCATTGGAAATACGACCCTAATAGCAGGGACTTGAGTATGATTTCGAGTGCTTTAAACCATACTCAAATCCTGACTTGAGCATTGAGTAGAGTTCTGGAATATGACCCTAAGACGACGTATTGTAGCTTTTAAAACATAAAAGCTAATATTGCTGTAATAAAGCGAGGTTTTACTTAAAAATAAATATAATTTAAACACAAATTAACTTTTTATGAGTATTTATTATGTATGTAACATGTTAAAATTCCGTATGGTTGTTTTTTCAATGGCAGTTCTTACTATTTCGCTGTTTTTCAAGTGTAATGGCCTAAAATAAAATAGTGATTTTTTTGCATATTACACAGATGTATTCAGAAAGTGTAAAATTTTATTGTGATTATGACACCGAGCTTTCTATTGGTTAAAATAATTACGTGACTACGTAAAGCCGGTATAGAATTTGTGGGCTTTGCGCACCATATAAAGGACTATCCACACACACCAGGACATGGCCGGGGCGTGCTAGTTTGTATGAACTGCGGGCCCGTCCCGGTGTCGGCCCGGACACGGACACATGTGAACGAGGTCATACAAAATATACGCAACGATATTTTTTTGAGCTCCTGACGGAGCACGGCCCGTCCACGTCCAGGCCACGGCCCGGATATGTGTGGATAGACCATTATAGTTTTGACGCCACTATTCTAGAAAACCATCGGTTTGTCATTTCTACGTTTCTCCTTTCGATAAAATCCTTAGATGGAAAAAAATAAATAAAATCACATTAGAATGTCTAATGTTGGTTTCCATAGTCTAAGATCTAACGACATTGTCTATGGTTATTTAATCCTTCTATAATTTTGTGTAAACCATAGATACATTCAAAACTGTATTGAAATATAAATAAACTAGTTAAATCAATTTCAAGGTTTCCTCTCCATTGTTAAGGGTTTATTACAGCTTTAAAACATTTTTTAAATAAACCGATCAATCCGCAATCAATTAACATTGAACATATCCTCCTAAGATTCAACAAACTATACTGAGAAAAGCGCTAAACACCCAATGCATTAAAATGTACTGAATATATTTACATGATTCAGCTCTAAGCAAGTATTCCCTCAGTACAGTTTTATATGAAAAACGTACAAAACTGATGATATTTATAATATTAATAACAGACCTCCTCGTGAAAAATTTCGTCCAGGGAAGTACTGCCACCTTATCTATTTTTGCTGCCGAGCAGTAACGTGAACAATACTGCGTTCCTATTATAAGTGCTGGTGAAATTACAGGCACATGGGACCTGTCAACAATCTCAGAGTGACGGGCGCAGTGGCAGTGCCCTCGGATCTTTGCGATTTTCAGTGGTACTTTAACTGTTATGGACAGGCGCGTGGCTTACCACCAAGTGCACGACTTGTTCGTACCGTCACTTGGTAATTATAATATAAGGCGCTAAATTCGAATACGATATTTTCATTATAACGTACACTAGGCGTTTGCGTGATCATAGAAATAATGTTGTCTGGATCTGAATCACTTCAAGTAATTATTATGTACATTTTTGTACGGGGCCTTAGGAGGTTATTTCCCATGGATGTTTAAAACACTACATTAATAAGACATCCCGTAGAGTTAGGTCAATCAAAGTTACTTGGGGAATTTTACCCGTATGTTTTCCTTTAATAGCGTCAGTGGGCGATTACAAATTTGCAAGTGCTAACGTGTGATACATCGTTAAAATGGTGGGAGGCATATGTGTTAAGTATTTCACGTTTTGTTTCAACGTTTTTATAATGGTGAGTGAACATTTATTTTCTTTTTCATTTTGACACTTTCTTTTTACCCGCAGTGTGTGCATAGCCCCACACTAGGGAAATTTCACCCAAACTCACGAGAGAAATAAATGTAGGCCATACAAATATTTACCCCGACGAGCGAATCGTTAAAATCTCTGCGTGGCAGACTAGAATGGTAACCGTTCGGCCACGGAGGCAGTTTGACGTTCCTGTCCCTAATACATTTTTCAATAATGTTTCATGAATTTTATCGAATAACTTTTGAATTTCTGCTTTCAAGGTTTAACTAAACTCAGCTTACAATATTAAAGTACTAAAACCTTTTGACATACAGTTCAAATTTTGTTATTAATATTTTGTAATTTGAACTGGTTTTACTTGGTTTCAATTTCGAGTTCATTTTATGAACTATATTTTTGTGTCTTCAAGTAAGCATGTAAGACATTGACTTACAATTATAAAGTCAATGATGTAAGAACTTGAAAATTTAATGGACCTTATAAGGTCCATTAAATTTTCAATATAATTATAATAATTATTATGTAATTAATAATATAATTATAATTAATAATATAATTATTTATATAAATAATTATAAGGAATAATTAATTATTCCTTCGGAACTCTGGCTGGACCAGACTTTCGAAAACTAGTAGAGGATACGCTTCCACCGGTTCGTCCAGCCGTTTAGGATTATTTTAAATGGGAGTAACGTTTTGGCGTTGGGAGGTGACTGTGCGGACAGCTCTACTACCAAAGCAGAAATTTGGTAGTCGACTTTAGGGTGCGTTCAAATTAGCCGCTGTTAGTCGCGCTGCAGCAGCGCTACAGCCGCGCGGCGGACGCCACACGGCCGCGCGATTGTCACTTTTCATACAATTTCTAGAAACGCTGCAACCGCGCGGTTGCATCACGGGTGTACATGTTAATTTTTCAAATCAACTACGATGGACGAAAATCGACTTGAAGAATTTATAAAAAATGCACAACAATACCTTGCAATATGTGTATCAGTTCCGCCAGTTATTCTAATCCACTGGAAAAAATGGCATGGGAAAATTTGTCTAAAATTTATTGACAATTTTGAAACTAAAACTACAAAAGAAAAAACAGCCGTTTGTGAGTAATTTTTAATATCTATGCGTGAAGTGTGTGCCCCAAGAACTCTGACCCCCCTAACTATATACCTTCTGGTTCTGAATACAAGTGTGAAGAATAGTGTTAAACAAACGTAAAAATCTCATAAAAACCCGTAAACAAGGCGAAAACTATTTACAAATATATTTCGTAAATCGAGTTTTGTAACTATTTAATGTAGTATTCATTTTGATAATTTTGACAAAACAAAGGTAACGAACGGATTCTAAAAGTGCCTACGACATTGTCGATCAACAACGTGAATTATAATGTTTCGAGTTGTTTGGGAGTGCTCATTGAGAATGTGGCATTAATTTTTAAATCCAAGATGGTTGCCAAGAATGTTCGAAAATGTATCTTTGGTAATCCTAAATGGCATTTGTATCTGAATACATGATGGCTGACACGACTTTTCGCATTTCTAAATGCAAGATGGCGGGCACGATTTCTCCAATAATGGCAAGTTGGGTATAGTTTTCGACATGTTTAAGGGTGCTCATTACGAATATATCACTTATTTGTAAATCTAAGATGGTGGACTAGATTTATCAAAAAAATGCAATATGGGTATCCTTTTCGAGGTATTTAAGGATGTTCATTACGAATATGGCACTCATTTCTAAATCCAAGCCCGCCATGGGCACGATTTTTCGAATAATGGCAAGTTGAGTATCGTTTTCGAGGTATTTGGGGGTGCTCATTACAAATAAAGCACTTATTTGTAAATCCAAGATGGCGGACACGATTTTTCAAAAAAATGCAATATGGGTGTCCTTTTCGAGGTATTTGGAGATGCTCATTACGAATATGGCACTCATTTCTAAATCCAAGATGGCGGGCAATATTTTTCGGATAATGGCAAGTTGGGTATTTCGAAATATATTATATTTTCTAAAAATCGTGGCAACCATCTTGGATTTAGAAATTAATGTCACATTCTCAATAAGCATTCCCAAACAACTCGAAAACGTCTATAATTCTCGTTGTCGATCGACAATGTCGATTACACGTTGTCGATTATATTAATACGTTCTGGTATTCTTTTTAATTTTTTTTTCGTCAGTTTTAACAAAATATGTGAAAGTAACGTTTCTTCGTCAGAATCCATCGTGTAACTGAGTCGAAAGATAAAACATCACTAAAAATTTGGTCGCACTTCAGCAGCGCGACAGTCGCGCGGCTGCAGCGCTGCTGCAGCGCGGCTAACAGCGGCTAATTTGAACGCGCCCTTAGAGTCAACGGCTTAGCGGTGACAACCGCTAGTTGTGCAATGAATAACGGAAAGTGAGCGAGCCAACAGCTTCGTGTGCTTCCCTATTGTTCAGATAGTTATATCTGCACGCAAGTACTGCACGGTGCCCAGAGGCGCTCACCCTTTGAGAACCGGATGAAGTGTGTGTCAACGGGCTAATAATGGGGTCAGGACCTGACTGATAAGATCCCAGTTCAGCTCTGCTTGCACAAGTAGGTAATAGTGCTCTTCCCATATAACCAACTGTTGGGTAGGGAGGGCATTGTAATTAAAATTTAATAGAAGATATGGGACTATTCAATCGGAACATGGATTAAACCTAGTGGTACATAAATATGCATTTGAGACACCAAAAAAATTGTTACAACATTCTGGTATCTTTTGCAGATAGGAGGTATGCTTATTTTCAGCACGGGTATAGCAGGAATCTGTATCAGTGGCGTTAAGACAAACGATGTTATCTTTGTTGAAGAGACAGTGAGCAATAATACGATTGGCACCGTGCTCATTATCGTGGGAATCATTAGTGTTTCCATTGGTGTTCTTGGTTGCTGCGGGACTGTCAAGGAAAACAAATATCTGCTTATCATTGTGAGTTACGCTTAAAGCATTTTTCTCTGTACATTCTTTTGCTAGTGTTACTGATGTGAGAATTCTGGAGAGAAAAGGCCTTCGAATAATATGCCAGCTTTATACGAATACCAAATCATACCTTTAAGGTTTTTTTTTTATAATATCTAGTGACGGGACGAACAAGTCGTGCGCCTGATGGTAAGCTATCCCAAGGAGCATACTTTATACGCCTTAAAACTGTTATATCTATAAACAGTCATTATATGGTATACATTTTGATGACAGATCTTTATAAATGGTTTTAGAAAAAAGAAATTGTTCTTATAAACTTATTTCACTCAAGCCAAAATTTTAAAACCTTCTTAATACCAAACAATTCAATGAAGTATAATCTCTCTTAAGATTTACTCTTATTGTCCTTATTTTAAGTTCATCTGTAGAACAACTGATTATTTTTAGTAAAATTGTTCTATACACATCCAATAAAGTCTATTAATTCTCTAAACACTAGTGACTTAAGTTTATTCTAGATATATTTAATTTTTAGACATTCTGTAGTGTTTATACTTATGACAAACACGTTATAGCGCGTCTTCAGTAGATTTTATTTAAAAAAATAATACAATTAGGGTTTTTACTCTATTGGACGTTGTAAAAGTTCATGAAAAAAGAATAAAGTAAAGAATATTAAAAGATCTGGTGGAGGTGGTAAACCTTCGATATTAAGTCACATCGTTCGATACAATCAGCGTTACCAATGCCAATTGTTCAAAACCCCCAAAATCACGGTTAAAATTCCCAAATTTGGGGAGAGCAAAGTTCATATTCCCCACATCTCGAGTTTTCATTATTTATTAGAAATACATTGCTTAAAAATATTATAAAGATAAAGAAACTCAAAATGTAATAATCTATTACGTTTGCTGTGAATGTAAACAGAATGTAAACATATTATAAAATTAGATGACCTATCATTTATTTATTTTAATTAGATTTAACATTAATTAATATAATCTTTGAAAAAAAAAAAACATTTTTCTTTGCCTTACAAAATTAAGTAAATTGATTATTTGTTGTGCATTTGGTGACACTATGTTAATGTTAGAAATAATCAATGAGTTTCGACCTATACTTAATATTTAAAGTTGACGAGTGGAAGTACCAACTGCTCGGCTTTGTTTATTAATAGCGGATTTCGTTCTGCTTCATACCGGGGACCGGCCTAAACGGGAGAAAGAATCGCGAACTCAACACGCACCGACTGGTAATTTTATAATTCAGAACCAAGTGCTCTAATAATAATTCCATTTAAGCTGATTGTTAATAATACGAGGGATGTGCGATGTTGAAAAACACATCGATCACAGAGTTTCTAACAGTGACGATCAAACTAGCGATGCATCAGCAATTGATAGATTAAACAAAATGATAAAATGCTAGAATCTCCACATTTTCCTCACATACCGCCAATCCCCACAAAATTCCCAATCTAGTTGAAATTCCCCACGACTTGGGGAATTTCCCACAAATTGGCAACACTGGATACAATAGTCGTAATTCGCGGGAGCTGGTTTTTGTTTGTTGACAAATAAATAAACATTGTGAAGTAATTCCGTGTTCAGAAATGATAAAAACAATTGAAATGAGCGCGTAAACTACTGTACTTCAATATTGTGTACGTGTATTGTGCCGTCTGTCAATAAAATACAGTGAAATCATTGTGTGAAATGTGGTTGGCGTGAAGAAATAACCTCAATTTTGTAATGAAAATTTTATTTCTTCCAACATAAGTTAGGTATGACATTAAAATATTCCTTATATTTATATGATAGGGAATTTATCCACTTTTCTAGCCACATATAACACATATTTAAAGCAAAATATACAAAATAACTCACAAAACAAACCATTTCCAAGAAGTTCTAGGTTTCTTCAAGCAATTTCAACTTAGATTTACTTTTTTAAAAGAAAATAATTTTTTTTTCAGCTACGTCATAGTCATTCTTTAAAAATAAAAATGGCGATTAGAATTTAAAGCTTTTTTAAAAAACACTGTTGGGCGCATTTTTAGCAAAAACTTTAGAATACGAAAAGATTATTTTTACTCGCTTTATGTAGTTGGTCTTGCAGAAGAATATTCACTCCTGATGAGGCTTTTATGATTGTCTATAAAACGCGATGTTTCTAAGCGATTTTTTCTTTCGACAGCATTACAAAACCATTATAAAAGTTATAGAATAGTGAGCGTATTATGCAATAAAAATCTTTTCAAAACACTAGGTCAAAAAAACAATTAAAAAAATCCAATTTGTTGCAAAAAATCCTATTCCGTATAATTATATGGAATGTGTTATATATGGCTAGAAAAGTGGATAAATTCCCTATCATATAAATATAAGGAATATTTTAATGTCATAAACGACCTGTTGTTGGTTGTTTATGGAGTGTTCAACATAAATATATATCGTTGAAAATTTTGCAACTTGTAACGCGTCTATCGGTACCGTGACATCGATATTTTTTTATGAAAATGATCCACTACTTTGGTGTCATCATTTATAAAAAGATCAAAGCATCAAGCACGTAGAGAAATTCGTGAGGTCTAAAACTGATTCGTTCTGTAGCTCAATTGGGAAAGCAGTTAGGAATCAGCTGATGGTTCGAATCCAGCCGGATCTTCTATCTTATGTTTGTGTTTGTTCGATCTTTGTATCAATAATAAAACGGTTTAAAATTATATATTTATGCTGTTTGATTTAAGTTATAACATTGAAAACACAAAGCATTGAAAACACAAAGCATTGCAATAACAGGCAAAGGTATTACAGACAGACACATTGCTTTATATTAAAATTTAGAAAAAGTCAATCATTGAAATATTTTCTTATTTTTACAATGGTTTGTTCCTCTTTTGGCAAATCTTGTGAAATTGACTGAGTTACGATTTTTTTTATTATGCATTTACTACTTGTGATTATAACGAAAAATACCGTTCACGTCGCTTTTTAGTAGCAGTAGAGCTTCTTGTGAAAGAGTTCGTCCAGGGTAGCACTGCCTACCTACTACTAGGAGTAGGTACTAACCTAACCTTACCTATTTCTACCTCCAAGCAGTAATGTCAGCATTACTGTGTTCTTGTTTTGAAGGGTAAATGGTGGTGAAATTACAGGCACATGGGACTTGTCAACTTGTGTCTCAGGGTGACGGGCGCAGTGGCTTTGCAGCTCTTATTTTTGCGAGTTAAAGCTCTGAGTGGCACTGTAACTGTTATGGACAGGCGTATCCCAAGCAGCACACTCTTATCTAAATATATACTATAAGATATCTAATAGAATTTAATTCGATTGAATATTTTAAGAGTTCAAATTCCTTCAAGATATCTCGAAGAAGGTTTCTAGATAATTTAAAGTAAAAGTGGGCACAACTTTATTAGTAGATCACATGAGTGCTTTCGGAAACTATCTGTAGGTAGTGTTAAGAGTGATTCTTATTTTTCTTCTCAAGTAACTCTTCTAGAATGCTACAAGACCATTTATAGACTGTAGACAGTTTTTATTTAGTCTTGTAGACAGTTTTTAGATAATTTAAAGTCTATGATAGTTTTTTTAATAAGGCTATTTTAAAACCAAAGTAACTAAAGCGATACAAACGTAAGACGCAATTCTCCGAATACTAATAGATTTCAAGTTTAATGGCTTACAAAATATAAACTATCAAAATTGGAACATGGCGAAATTAGATATAATATTTCTGAAATTTTCGCGCAATGTTTAATCGGTTAGAAAGCGCTATAAATTTAGCTATAGATAGCTTTCTATAAATATTTAAAACCGAAAATCGATAACCGTATTTTTATTCAGTTTATATTTTATACATAAATATTTAAAATTTAGTGAGCGCATTACTTTTACGACATGTTTTACATCACTTTTCACAATGTATTTAAAGTCGCACATCAATTCGCGCTTTCTAACCGATTAAACATTGCGCGAAAATTTCAGAAATATTATATCTAATTTCGCCATGTTGCAAATTTGATAGTTTATATTTTGTAAGCCATTAAACTTGAAATCTATTAGTATTCGGAGAATTGCGTCTTACGTTTGTATCGCTTTAGTTACTTTGGTTTTAAAATAGCCTTATTAAAAAAACTATCATAGACTTTAAATTATCTAAAAACTGTCTACAAGACTAAATAAAAACTGTCTACAGTCTATAAATGGTCTTGTAGCATTCTAGAAGAGTTACTTGAGAAGAAAAATAAGAATCACTCTTAACACTACCTACAGATAGTTTCCGAAAGCACTCGTGTGATCTACTAATAAAGTTGTGCCCACTTTTACTTTAAATTATCTAGAAACCTTCTTCGAGATATCTTGAAGGAATTTGAACTCTTAAAATATTCAATCGAATTAAATTCTATTAGATATCTTATAGTATATATTTAGATAAGAGTGTGCTGCTTGGGATACGCCTGTCCATAACAGTTACAGTGCCACTCAGAGCTTTAACTCGCAAAAATAAGAGCTGCAAAGCCACTGCGCCCGTCACCCTGAGACACAAGTTGACAAGTCCCATGTGCCTGTAATTTCACCACCATTTACCCTTCAAAACAAGAACACAGTAATGCTGACATTACTGCTTGGAGGTAGAAATAGGTAAGGTTAGGTTAGTACCTACTCCTAGTAGTAGGTAGGCAGTGCTACCCTGGACGAACTCTTTCACAAGAAGCTCTACTGCTACTAAAAAGCGACGTGAACGGTATTTTTCGTTATAATCACAAGTAGTAAATGCATAATAAAAAAAATCGTAACTCAGTCAATTTCACAAGATTTGCCAAAAGAGGAACAAACCATTGTAAAAATAAGAAAATATTTCAATGATTGACTTTTTCTAAATTTTAATATAAAGCAATGTGTCTGTCTGTAATACCTTTGCCTGTTATTGCAATGCTTTGTGTTTTCAATGCTTTGTGTTTTCAATGTTATAACTTAAATCAAACAGCATAAATATATAATTTTAAACCGTTTTATTATTGATACAAAGATCGAACAAACACAAACATAAGATAGAAGATCCGGCTGGATTCGAACCATCACCTGATTCCTAACTGCTTTCCCAATTGAGCTACTGAACGAATCAGTTTTAGACCTCGCGAATTTCTCTACGTGCTTGATGCTTTGATCTTTTTATAAATGATGACACCAAAGTAGTGGACCATTTTCATAAAAAAATATCGATGTCATGGTACCGATAGACGCGTTACAAGTTGCAAAATTTTCAACGATATATATTTATGTTGAACACTCCATAAACAACCAACAACAGGTCGTTTATAAAATAAGTACTTGTGTGGAGAAAATTATGTTTGTTCGTCCTACTTTTATTCTGCAACTGCCAAACAGCCACTTATTTATTAGCATGCATTAATATAAAATCCAACCTTTGAAAGCTTAAGCCGAGTAGATCATTATAGATTAAAGTACGACTGCATGTGATTTTAGTACGTGACGTTGCTGGTGTTAATAACGCTAGCAATGCTAATGATGTCAGTTGCGCAGCTCGTCGAAAGCAAGCACGCCCAGTTGACTGTACCGGTAGTGTTGCAGCTGCGATACCTGCAGAATGAGAACAACTTCCACGAGGACTTTGAAGAGAAGGTACGTGTTAAGGTTTATGGTCTGAATGAAAATCAGACACTTTTCATTTGTTTCAAGAAGTTCACATTGCAAGAGGCTTGAATGAGCAAAATTAAACCTACATAACCACAATACAGTGAATTATATATCATGTTTCAGTACCAATGTTGCGGCTTGGATGGACCTAACTGGTACGCAGAAGAGAAGTTGCCTTCTTCGTGTTGCGTAAAGACGATATCAGAATGTACCGTGGTCAATGCTTTCGCGGGTTGCATGGACGTGGTTACCAATGACGTGGTGGACGCTTCCTTGACTATGGGGTATACAGCTTTGATGGTTGCTCTGTTTATGGTATGTTTTGAGTCTGCAAAATAGTAAGTATTTCTTAGTATACAGGTATAAGAGGTCAATCTAAATAAAAATCCGATACTCTATACAAAACCCTTCATAATGTTATACAAATTAGAAATCTGTCTAACATAGTTTTAATAAAATGTTCTGCAAAATTTTAAAATGTAAACAGTACCTGTGAAGCATTATGGAAAGTCAAACATTTAGCAAAAAATAACTATTATTATCAATGTAGGATCTCGTATACTAACGACATTATTGACGTTCTGAGCAATGTACGCTTTTCGCTACACGTTTGAACGGCCATCATCAGTGGCATAGTTAATATTTGATATTGTTATATCAAATAAGTATCGACTTGACACTTCCGATCTTAATTTTCTTACCATTGTTTTGTAGAAATCCGTCTAATCGTTTTTATGATCTTAGCTCTGATTACTTCAAATGTTTCTTATATTTCAGGTTATTGGAATCATAACGAGCGCATATATATTCTGGAAAGTGCGGGAGGACGGCATTGCTGGCGAAGAGATAGTGTTCAGCTACAAGGACTTCCGCAAGATTAGCATGTATGGACCTACCAATACTAATGATTTCTAATTGAGGGTGGTCGAACACAAGGCTGTTGAAATTTATCTCCGTCAAGCAAATGAAAGATTATATTTTTGTCATGAACTGTTTATCGTCTTCATACATCCCACCATACTACAGAACTATGTTACTCATTAGTGATATAGGTTTGGGCTACGTCTGGAATTAGTTTCTATGATAAAAAATGTTGGTGAAAACATGAAAATGATTATACAGAACGCCTTCAATTTCACAGTGTGACGGAAGAAAAATATCGCGAATTGAAAATGGGTTTCTTAGATAGTTGTTAGGTGTCATGGAAAGAATTTAATTTTCTTTTACCGTTTAAAAATGCTACGTTTTAATTTTTTTTTGTATTGTCACATTTATTACTCACTTACACCGCCTCTTTGGTTTTATAATTAATTAACCAAAAAACATACTAAATATAAAAAGAAATTATTGTTTGTATTTTATTCGCGTAACCAACCGATTGCGATAAATTTCTACTAACTGTAAAATATTAGGCGGGCCAATTGTGTTGCAACAAATGTATCGTCTAGACCCGAAGGAGCGGTTTTTTTTGCAGATGCACTTGAAAAACCAGTTTCTATTCAGTTTTCAGTAGCATTACAACGCCGGTTACAGTTAAATAAAGCCCGATAAAACGAAAAAAATTGTAAACACTCTTTCCTTGTATTACGAATGCATTGCACGCATTTTGGATAAATATTGTTGTACTTCTTCTTTTTGCTTATTAAAAGTGCTGATTTTGACATCATTTTTGTAAAAAATATTAGGGTAACAGGGGTAGATGGCCATAGCTTTTTCTAGACGCTGTCAAAATAAAATATTAGTTAATACATTGCAAATCTTTATTTCTTATTAAACTCTGAACAATTAACTATTAATTATTTAACAGAAAAAAGAACAAATTGTCTTGAGACCAACTGTAGTGTGAAACTACGGACGCCTATCATCTTCATGTCTCTCATCATACGTTTTCTAGGAAACACCCTTACTTTTCCTGATTCATGAAAGAGTTCCAACTAATATTTCTATATTATTAGTGTCTAAATTACTTAAATTTGCTATTATAGGCTATTTCTCGCACTTTGACAGTTTACTCACTTTTATGTCGGATCTCCAGACCTTGGCATATTCTATAGTACTGATAGTATCTCCGAACTTTGCTATTCGATTTTCCAATGCTAATTACGTACTATTTCATAAATTTCACTTTATAACACATATTTATTTCGTATTTAATATTTTGATATGTTGACATTTATTGACAGATCTATTATTCCTCTACAATCTATTCTTCCATAGATCATTCTATAAATTATTCCTTCCTTTGATATGCAATCTTAGCAGTAGAAGACATTACGCTCCTGGCCGCTCTCATCTTGGCTCTTTATTTCAAATAAAAAATTGGCCATTCGAATTTCGAAGCTTTTTCTTGCTCTACCATTCGCTCGTTATTCCTATACCAACCTTCGAGTTACCTGGTCTTCAGAACGAAATATACGAAGCCTTCTTTTTTCTTACGCCTAGAGTGACTCCTGTCGCGCGTCTGTTTGAACGAAGTTCCTCGGTTCTCCACCTAAACCTTCTCTTCCCCTTAACGTTCTGCCTATCTGGACTGGGCCCTTCGCTCTGCGAGAGTGGAGCGCCTAGCTACAAGCCCCACTTCGCCCCATCAACTGAAGACAGTGCTGCATGACCGCCGCTGTTAGTACAACCTCGCCGCTCTCCGAAGCCAATGCTGCATAACCACCGCTGTTTCTACGAGAACTTCTCCATTCTCCGCCTCCACGCCGAACCCGCTGTGCTCCGGCTCTACACCTCTGCCTCGGTCTCCAACTTTAGATGGCAGAGGCCCTCAACTCCGTGTATCCAACTTCGATCTTCTTCATCTACACACCACACCACACCACTCTCCTACATAACATTCTTAGGTTCTTTTTAATATAAACTTATTGTTATATTTTATCATTTTCCATCCTTTGATTTCATACCCTCCTACCTCTCCCTAGCTTTCCACTCCGACCTTCTAGCTCTTCCACCCCTACACAACCTTAAACTTAGTTAAAAAAAATACGATTGGCCATCTGTTCCGAGGTGTCCGAGTGTAACGACCTTAGAGGATGTAAAAAATAATGACCATAGGACTATAGGTAAGATGGCCAGTAATTTTTTCAAGACTTAGATAGGTCTTTTATTTGGTGCTTTGTTTTTTTTGTCTTCTTTTTTCGTCTGACCGTCAAATTCTGTACAGTTTCCGTGAACCCAAAAGTGACACACGACGCATTGGAGCCAGTCTTCGATGAGGAAGGCTTTATAGCAGCAGTAGCTGTAATAGCTATCGAGTTCTTAGGTTTTGGCGATAGTTACTCATAGGAAATGAAACTATTTTTCCGGATTTAAATCGCGTATATTTGTTTTTTCAAACAAACCAACGTTTCGGGCCCTTTCCAGGTTGGGACATTTCCTAAGCATTAAAAGCTGCTTTTAATGCTTCTTCAGTGCAATTCCCTCTCAATGTGGCTACCTTGCTTTTGTATTTAGTAGGCATCTAAAACAAGTTTAAAAATAAATAAAATATTTTATTGACATTTTAGACCTTTGTATGATCGATACAAGTTGGTCACATGGCCATCTTACACCGATTTTGATTGGCCATCTGTCTTAATATTCCAGGAGAGATGGCCACACATAAAATTTAAACAAGAAAAAAACATGAAACGTGAAATTTTAAGATTGTCACAAAGCATTAGAGGTGGACTAAGCAATAAAAACAAAAATAATCCATATTTTGAAAAAATAAGTTCATGGTAGTGTAAAACATGAACCCTTTAAAAAATTTTAGCGTTAGTCTAAACCCATATCTATGGGTCTGATCAACCGAGAGTTGTGGAGATAATTAAAAAGCCAGAAAATTTGATTCAGTTACAACTAGTAAATAATAGAAAATTGAGAGAGATAGAGAGGAAAGAAATACACGAAATTACGGAAAGGAAGGAAAGGAAATTACAAATTATCTCGCAATCTTTATCTTTTTAAACTGACTAAGTTCCATTTTGTTTGTTGTAAATAATGGACACTACATTGCACACGCTTATCACTGTATATATGACAAATTTATCAAATGAATTATTTTAGTATTTTATAAATATAAGAGAACACAACATACAACATTATAGAAATATATACGTAATTTATTTTAGTTTATACACGACCCACACGTCCGGTACTCACTCGGTTTTAGGGTCCACTGAAAATCAGCGTCACAGCCTTTTCTCCTTTAGCTGTGTGGATCCTATTACATACGCCACAGCCGCACACATGACATCTACTGTAACAATAGTGTTGACTAGCTTTGTGGTCATTTAATTACTTATTACTAAGATTTTATTTTTAATTCATTTTATTTAGTTTTTTTTTGTTATTCTATTTTCTGTTTGTTTTAATTTTAGTTTGTTTTTGTTTTAATTTTATTTTTATTTTTTTTATTTCTTACTGTGTATCATTGTGTTGTGGCATTATGTAGTAAATGGTTTCTATTCTATTCTATTCTATATTATTTTATTTATGTACCAAGTAAGAGTAAAATATATTTTACTGGAATATTACCTCGATCATCGATCACGCGAGGCGGTTGGTAAGAGATCAATGCAACTTGTGTATGAAAACAAAAATAATTAATAACGTAGATGATAGGCGAGTAATAATCAATGACTGTCGGGTGTGTAATGTATCATATAAATATTATTCACATAACGCTCAATTGGCATAATTTTACTTCCTGTAAACTCATTTAATATAGTGAGTCACTTCATGTAACGAACGTTTGATATAAACTTATAATCTATAATTTAATTTTAATTAACATAACGTCATTTTATCCAAATTTCATTTCATCTAGAAATATGATTATTCCCAAAAAACAATATCACTAATAAGTACTAATTTTATTAATTATAATTTGGCCTGAAAACATGTTTGGAAATGCAAACAAATTGTTTCTGGCACTCGCCGGCCGCTGCCATGGCACGCTCGCTCGACTCGTGCTGATTTTTCATGACCTAACCGTTTTTTTGTTAATCCGGGGGAATCTGCTTACAGATACCTCGGCCCCACGGGGGCAGAGCCTGGGTTATGTGCGACCGCACTAAACCCCCGAAGCGTTCCTCCTCTCCGCTGCAGGTGGGGGTACGGGAAGGGGTCTCCCTTCTCGGGGACATAGGACCCCCGACTCTAAATGTGAGGCTCGCTGAACACCAGACGAGCCTTCCATCCCGGGCCCCTCTATGCTGGGCAACGAACTCCCCCGTGTCCGCTACCCAGAGGCCATGGGGGGCCAGGACAACATCCACTCAACTGTGAAGTTCAGTGACTGCTCCCCCAGTCCCCGGGATCTCAGAGTTTAATGTCTGAGTAAAATCATGTCAATGTACCATATTGTGACAAGACTGGGTTTTCCTTCACTGACCCTTGCGTTGGTCAAGTACCTATCTACAACTGTGCTGTCATCAGTATACGCAAAGATACCTGAAATTAACATATCATTGATATGCACCAGAAAGAGGTTGCAGATAGTACGGAACCCTGATAAACTCCGCCATCTATCGCCATATGTTCGGAAGAGTAGCCTTCTAAGACGATTTGAATCGAACGTTCGTTCCAGAGATCCGAGACCCAATTACAAAGGTCAGTGGAAGTTCAAGTGGAAGGGAAGCTCACAAGAGGGAAGCTTACTTAAAAGGCTTGCGTGTCAGACCCTGTCAAAATCGTTAGAAATGTCCAAAGACACTGCAAGTGTCGCCTTGCTTTTCTATAGCCTCGTTCCATATGTGACAGGCATACACAAGAAGTCTGACGGGGCAGCGTCCTCGCAGCCTACTGAGGGGATAATATGCTCGGGCGTAACTGGCCACATCGTCATCATCATCAGAATCTGAAAGTGCACAAAACCTTACAGGGGTAAAAGCTACACGACATCATGTAGGTGATAACAGCATGAGGTTGAAAAGAATAGTGATCTTGCAAAAGTTCTTAAACAAAGTTAAACTCACACAATAAAAGCACTAAGTTTAATATCCCACAAGGAATTATATGAACGATGTCTGTGTCAGTACAATACACTTCTAGGTCACCTCAGCGCCTGGTTAGCTAACCGAGTCTTTTCCCAGTTACCCCAATACCTTAATAAAAGACACGACACGTAAAATTAAAATGTGAGCAAGCTAGAGCAATAATATGTTTAACTTGTACTTAATTCAAGTTTAAACTTAGCGGGAGAAATAATTTTCAATCAGCAATATTACATAGCGTTATTACAGTTGCCAACATAAACATCTCGCTCTCAAAAAGGTAATACATGTATTCGGTATAGGTGACTTAGAAAATGTCTCCTCCACCTTACGCAGGCTCGGTCGTACCTGACCATTCAGATCCCCTTTTAGATAAAACCCAAACACGGTTTTTCGTCCCAGTTGTATAAAGCAAAAGCGTGATCGACTTCGTCGCACCACGTCTCAACGTCATGAACATTAGGGTCAAATTTAGACACAATAATGGTTTGATCTATCCGGATACGCACACGTCGATAAGACGCTCTATTACGTCTTGGGTGGCTCGTAACCACAGTTTCGAATGGCGGCGGCAGCGCCAGTACGACAGCATCCGCAGCGACAGCGTCGTAGCGGCAGCGTCAGCAGCGCCGGCTGCGGTAAGATCCGCAGCGGTAGCGCCAGCTGCGCCAGGTTCGGCGCCAGCAGCGCCAGTGTTGGCGTCAGCAGCGCCGGCTGCGGCAGCACCCGTAACGGCAGCGCCAACATTGCCAATGTCGGCGCCAGCAGCACCGGCTGCGGCCGCACCCGCGGCGGCAGCGCCAGCAGTGCCAGTGTCGGCACCAGCGCCAGCAGTACCAGTGTCGGTACCAGAAGCGCCGGCAGTGGCAGCATCAGTAGCAGCAGCACCGGCTGCGGCGGCAGCTCCTGCAGCAACGCCGCCTGCGGCGGCAGCACCTGCTGCAGCGGTGGCCGCGGCGTTTGCGTCAGCGCCTGCGGTGGCAGCGCCGGTGGCGGCGGCGCAGCAGCGCCAGCAAGCAGTTAGTAGCACCGACTGCGGTGGCGGCGCTAGTAGCGTTAGCGCCAACAGCGCTGACTGCAGCAACACTTGTTACATGCTTGGTTCACCCTCGCTGTTTCCACTGACTCGATGGCACGCTGTTCAGCAACACTCTAGGGTGCCTCAGAACCAGAACACTACTCCAAGGAGGTCAACCGTTACAGGATAGCCTGCATGGTGGCCGTTAACTGACCTAAATGCCGTGGAGATGGTGTACGCTCTCGTGCACCTCGTGTTTTCCAAACGTCGCGAAAACTACCAGAAATGGCATATTCGGCAACTAGAGGCATTCTAATCCTATTCCTTTTATGCCCATAAAAGGAAGCGGACGTCCTCACAGGACGTAATAATTACATTTTTTTTTTATTGAATTATTAATATTAACCTATTATGTCCCACTGCTGGGCAAAGGTTAATAAAAGTTTTTTTTTGAAATTATTTTCTGCTTTTTTACTTTAAGCTTTGGAGCTGATTTTCTTGTAAGCAATTCATAATATTGCAACTAAATTGAACCTTTACGTGCAAATATAAAAAATACTACGATTTTCAAACATTAGACTTTGTTGCAATGTTTGTGTGCATTTTTAATTTTTTTTTTTTGTTGTTCTTATTGTTTGGGACAAATTGTACAATTAGACCATTATGTCAAAAAAAATGGTGTTTCATTCCGATTGACTGATGGACCTTTTAGTGAAATAGGTATGTTTTTTCTCATAAATTTGTGGTCATACGTTGTTGTATGCCAGAAATATTAGATATGTATTTAGATGTTAGATATGCATTGCGATAAAATGTTATGCATTAATTTTAGTACGTAATGCCAAATTAATTTTCTTTTGATGTACATATTATGATGTGCATTCAGTACTTTTGTTGGGGAAGTGGCATATTTGGTTGTGATAAAACTTGCTTTTTTGGTAAGAGGTTAAATACTATCCTTATTATTAGGTACGATGTATTTACATCTATGCAATTACTTATTATTATTCAGTATTAATCGAGTTGTTTCATTCGTCTCCGCCGTACCAAACCGTACACCAAAATTTAGCAGGTGTGTAAAGAGAGCTCCTTACACACCTGCTAAATTTTGGTTTTCAACTGGAGCCCTGTTATAATAGTAATAATAATAATTTATTTAAGAAAAGAAAGTAAATGTACAAGCTAATTGATCTACAGCAATTCAAAATTATTAGGATTGTACAGGGTCAAGAGCACGTCAAGCTTGACACTTAAGATTTAAATCCAGCTCTATGCCGCTTACGATAAGAGCGTTCCAAAGTACAAAGTATCAAGCTTGACGTGCTCTACATACAATTAGTGAATTTTAGAATATTAGTTATTAAATTCACATTTATCCCAAAATTTTCAAATTACCCAGTCATTTAATGACACGCCACGCTGCCCGCATTCCGTCAGTCGCCATCGGGCGCTTGTCGACGTCAGACCAATTCAAAATTTTCTACGCCTGTACTTATTTTAATTTACGGGACGCGAGGAGTGACCACCCCCACACTACACCTAAAATCTAGGCTCGCGTTGAAATACCTCGCCTGAACTACCTATTATGCCTCGAACAAAAAATTATAGCTTGTTGCGCCGGTGACTGTACATTGCATACATGTGTTTTAAAATAAATATAATCTATAATATTAATATAACAATAATACGTTTTTCTACCCAATTAAAAGTATAATTATAAGTATTCATAATTTGTTCCAAAATTTTCAAACAATAAAACATTATACTACTAATTAATTCTAAAATTGTCCGTATGGTACTCTTCAACTTGTTAATCAAACACTTTCTCGAGCGGTGACTATGAGCTAGAAGGACGATTCCTGCTAGATGTGACTATCGAATCTGGCGAGGATTCGTTGAATGTTGGCGGTACAGGATAATGTCAAACTGTATAGGAGAGATTTTGTGTGTGGCAGTGGATATCTCACGATTGACGATGTTATCAACTCCAGCTGTTCTATATTAGTCTTCGTCATCTTCATCTTCTTCATCATCTTCATCTCCACCTTTAGTATAATGCCTCAGTAGCGCGAAAGCTAAGGCCGTAACCTGAAAATAATTTATATAAATTGAAAGGAAGACAAATGAAGAGCAAGGACCACAACAAAAAGCAGAAAGTTATTAACAATGTTTCATGACTTTAAAAAGGAGATTAAAGCTGTTAAATGAAAAATAAAACAAATAATGTTAATACCTGTACAACGATGATTCCAAGAAAAAGTAACATCAATAATGTGCCAAGAATCCTGCCCGCACGTTTAACTCTGGCCCGACAGTCTGCGTCTGTCTTGGAAAGTTCGTAGCATGTGTTACCAATAGGCTTGGAGCAGCAATTGTATGCATACGGGGGTGAACGATTATACTTTTGCCGATATTCGACGGCGCAACAAGTGAACTAGAATAATATAGTAATTACTATAGTATTAGATATATCTAAATTCAATGTTTATCAACTATATCAATAATCGCTGTCTCATATTTTGCTATAATCTTTATGCAGACCACCTCCAAATTTACGCTCAGTAATCGCCTAATTTTTTTACCATTACTTGATATATCTATTATTTTTTTAGGTCGGTAAGATTAGGTTCTAGGTAGCGAAAACATGAAGGGTGATTTTGTCCAGTTGACCTTGATAGTTTCCCACTTATAATATCTGATGGTGCCCGAATTCGTTATTTGGATACAATCAGGAATTTGTCCTGTCATTTCTGAAAGATATATTATAATCCTGCCTACAAAAGTAAGTAAATATTATTATGTAAGTATTATTTATTTGAAATACTATTCTCTCTATTTGTATCTGTTAACTATGTATCATAAGGATGCCTAAAGAAATAATTGCTATATATACCTACTTTGCTACCTTGTGCATTAGTTTAATTAAATATTTTGCATTAATGCTCTGGGGGGTCTTTGAATTTTTTAATATGCAACCAGGAATATTATTTCATTCATCCATTTTTGCTTTTTAGACGTTTCGTAGTTTTGTGATATTTTCTTTCAAACAGTGACAATAGAATATGATTGTAACGACGCACTTACCGCCCAGTTATCATGCTTTCACGTACATTAATGGCAAATCTGAATTCTATTTACTAGGCAACAACTAACTAAGAAACATATGCCAGCCTCGCCCGCGCACCCGTGATGCCCATTTAAGATAAAATGTAAATAATAAATAAATAAAGCATATTTTACCATGACAGTTAGATGCACGCGGTCGCCCTGACTATCAATCTCAGGGGACGATAGTTATAGTTCCATGTCTTAGTTAAATTTGAGATATTTTTCCAAAAGGCTAATCGTGCTCGAAGCAAGAGCATCTAATTGGGGTTGTGTGATACTAATAACGTTTGACGAAGGACAGACAAAGGTAGTATACCAGTGGTACTGTGGCGTAGCGCTGATATCTTAGTAAACAAACAGTAAAAAAAGTTTGTGTGGAATGTCTATCATGTCAATAATAAGTATAGAGTAGAGAGAAAACTCACAGCTTTTTCGAGAACTCCAATGGGGCGCGGATAATATTCAAAGTCATAGTAGGCGGAAACCCAAACGTCTAGTGCTTTTTCTAGGTTTGCCCCTTTTGAGATGTAATATATCTCCGCTATCACCAACGGCACCAATATCACTATGTACTGCGTAATAAATACAGGCAAATAAATATAATGGTGAACACATAACAAAACTAATTATTTATGACACATATCATATCACATACTAATTATTATATATAAATAGTTACTGTCGCTTACAGGACTATTTGTAATACATTGGAATCGTATTGAGCTAGTAGCCCTGAAAGAATAATCAAAACTGCGTTGCCGGCTTTTTTTATAAAGTGTAAGTGTGCATTTGACCTCCATCTCACCTGATGGAAAGTGACGATGAGGTCGACAATGGAGCATGCACACCTAAATAATGCCTAATCATTCTCGCCTTCAAAGGGTCCAAGTAATGACGTTCAGGGAACAAGTCTGCAGGCAGGGAATTCCAATCCATAGCCGTTCGCCATTTAGATGTGGAAGCATAACGCTTCGTGCGAATCTTTGTAATATCCACAACATAGGTGTGGAATCCTAGCCAGCGTCTAGTCCGCCGATGATGGAAAGGGGAAGCGGAATCGAATTATGCAATTCCATCGCACACTCTCCGTGATATATCCTGTAGAATACCGACAAGCAGGCAACTTTACAGCAGTGTTCAAGGCTCTGCAGCTTTGCCTCAACTCATTCCGAGTCGAATAAGCCTTTTGGCACGCTTGTCGATTGAATCCAAGGTGGCTAGTTGGTATTTAGCAGAGTCATCGCATAAGTGATAGCAGTACTCCATACACGACCGGACTTGAGCTTGGTACAACTGAAGCAACTGTCCCAGTATGAAATAACGCCTCACCTTGGAAAGGATGTCAAGTTTCCAGGCTGCATTTTTGGCCATGGACTCAATGTATCTGCCGAAGTTCAAATTGAACGACAGGTCCATTTCAAGTAGCTGGAGGCAGTCGGGTATTGGGTATGTATATATCACGAAAAGTCGGAGTCAGCTAAAAGAGACTACGTTTTGTGGAGAATAGACACGTCTGCGTTTTGGTAACGTTGAATTTGACAAGATTGGCATCGCCGCAATAGGAGACTGTCTTGAGTGTGAAATCCAAACGGCTGACCAAGGACTTTCGATAAGACTGAATTTCCTCTGCACTGACCCTTGTATTGGTTAAATACCTATCTACATCTGTGCTGTCATCAGTATACGCAAAGGTACCTGGAATTAATATATCATTGATATGCAGCAGAAAGAGAGTTGCAGACAATACAGAACCCTGAGGAACTTCGGTAGCATATGGCATCTATCGCCATATGTTCGGAAGAGTAGCCTTCGATCCGACTGGTCTCGTCGGGTCGAATGTTCACTCAAGAAATCCTAGATCCAATTGCAAAGATCAGTGGGTAGTCCATAAGAGGGTAGCTTACTTAAAAGGCTTGCGGCAAAGGCTTTAGAAATGTCCAAAGATACTGCAAGTGCTTCACCTTACATTTCTATAGCCTCACTCCATATGTAACAGGCACACATAAGAAGATCCCCAGTTGATCGCCCTCGTCGGAATCCGTACTGGTGATCACTGAGGAGGTCGTTGTCTTCAAGATAGGA